GGCGTAGGGTGGGTCAGAGACAGGACCACAGCATTGATTAGGTTATGTCACCGGAAGGGGCCTTTACTTTCAGCCCCGGGGGAAGGAGAATGAAATTCAAGCCTGCGTCTTGGGCTGGGGGTAGGAGGATAGGTTCCTTAGAAGTAGGTTGCCTGAAATCTACACTCACGAAATGTCTCCAGCAGCTGAAACCTCCCCTTCAAGTCTTCTGCAATAGAATGCACTGTGGGTGCCATCTTAGTAACCCCCCCACCCCCCCAACCCTGCTGAGCTCCCAGCTCTCTCTCAGCCCTAGGAGCAGGCTCAGGGATGCCCAAGACACGAGTGCCTCCTTGGTGCCTCCATCAAAGCTGGATCCCAGCACCCAGCCACACCATCAGCGTTTGAAGGCACAGATCGGGTCTGGCCCAGAGTGGGTGCTCAAACATATTTATTAAAAGGAAGATTGGTCCCTGGCCCTCTGCCTACTGGCTGACTCCTTGGGTTCCTCTAGGCCTCTATGTGGGGAAGGAGGCCTGACCAACCTGAGCTCAGGATGCTGGGGGTGGGGTGGGGTGTAGGGGGTTACTTAATTAAAAGTGCTGCCCCTCTGGGGCTCTGGGAGGGCCTCAGGGCACATGGCGGCTGGCCTTCCATCCTGGGTCCTGAGGGAGGTCCACTGGTCTCTGCAAGGGCCCTCTCTGGCTCAGGGCCTCGGTGGAGGCTGTACAGCTCTGGAGATGCCCTGGGTGGAAGCTGGCAGCTCTGAGCCAGGGTGTTTGGGGCCCCCTCACTGAATACAGTGGGGAGATGTGGCTTTACCTGGAGGCTCTGGGCGGCCAAGGCTACATCCACACACAAAGAGGGGCCCCAGGACCTGTCCTTGCACCCTCAGTGACCACCACCTTCCTCTCCTCTGCCCCCACCAGCACCAGCTCTTCAGGTGCTTCCTGGACCCTAAGAGATGCCTTTAAGCCGGCAAGGGGCTCCTTGACTTTCTCTGAACTATGGCTTTGAGACCAAAGGGCAGAAAAAGCCTGGGTTCCTACTTCCCAACCTCACCTCTCAGGCACTGCCCCCCGCCTAGGTCAATATGCCAGCCCGGGCACAGGAGGAGGCCGCCTGCCTCAGGCCAGGACTCCAGTCCTAAGAAGCCAGATTAGCTGCTCTCTGAACCGAGTCCTGTTGCCCCTTCCTCCCATCCCTCAGTTTACTGGGGACCCCGCTGGAGGCCAAACAGGCCTCAGGATGTCCCAGCCAGCACGGAGCCCAGAGGTCAGGCTGGTAAAGGGAGGTGTGGCGTCCCAGTAATCCTCCTACCCATCCCACCCCAGGTTCTAAGGTCCTCGGCGTTTGGAGTGCCCCTTGTGGCTCTGACCTTATGGCGGAATTCCCGGGCCACTTTCCTGTCCATGGCTGGGCCGGTTCTAGCAGAGTCGCTGAGCGATCAGCTCCTTCGGGTGCGCGGGTGCGCGGGTGCGCGGTGGCCCGGAGCTTGCTCAGGAGGCGACCGAGGCGGACCGAACCTCCTCCCGGCCTGGGGGCGGGGCCTGGAGCAGGGGGCGGGGCCATAGGCCGGCAGAGGCCCCCATTTGTTACAGAGCAGTACTGCTTCCATATGGCTTTCTTAGCTGTCATCTTCAGGGAAGCAGTTTGCCCGCTCTTCCTTCCAGGGTGCCACTAGGTGAGTCCCAACCACCAGCTGACCTTTAGGTTAGAAAACAAAACAAACAAACTCACTGCGTGGAGCCTATTCATAGTCACCCTCTAGGACCAGGTAGGACTGCCCTGGTGGGTTAACTAACTTTTCCCATAAGGAAGAAATGCTTGATCTGTGAATTCCTCGTGGTCAGGTCTGGGTTTTATGGGAGGAGGGTCATTGACTATGGGGGAGCCTGGAGCAATGAGTGTGAATGTTGACCTCATCTGACTCACCTGACCCCTTCTCTCCGAATAATAATAAATGCACACACACACACACACAGGCAGGGAAAGGTCTAGCAGTGACATCCTGGTTTATGACTGACCTTTAACCAGGGACCAGACACCATGTGGTTCATCTGATTCAATCCAACCAAAGTCTGATAAACTCCTGCTGCTGGAGGGTAGAGGCAGCAAAGAACTGGGTCTGGGGAAGACTGGGAGAAAGCAGGTGAAGATGGGGAGAAGAGTGGCCTTGACTTGTGGAGCTTGTCCCTGGATTTAACTCAGGGTGGGCATCTGACCCATTGGTACTGTGTCAGAGTTCAGGGGCAAAGAGATGTTGTTGTTGTTGCTAGGTGCCATCAGGTTGGTTCTGTCTCATAGCAACCCTATGCACAACAGAAGGAAACCCAACCCGGTCCTACGCCATCCTCACCATCATTGCTACGTTTAAGTGTGTTGTTGCAGCTACTGTGTCAATCCATCTCCTTGATGAGCTTCTACATGTTCGATGACTTTCCACTTTACCAAGCATGATGGCCTATTCCAGGGACTAATTTCTCTTCTCAATATATCCACAGTATGTGGGATGAAGTCTCACCATCTCCAATTCTAAAGACCATCTGGTTGTACCAGATGGAGAGCCATTTAAATCAAGTAACCACCTGACACTGTAACTCCAGGGGTACCCTGAAGATCCCCCTTCTCTGACTCCCATCCTCCAATAGTTAAAGTTTTGCAATGAGCCTGCTTTTATTTGGATTAAATTACTATTAATCCCTCCTAGAAAAGAACCATAAACTATGACCTACATTTTTTAACCTTACTGTCAACTAACTAAGTAGTAGATCAGAGGAAGAACTAGTTTTTATTTATTTATTTTATTTTAATAATTTTATTAGGGGCTCATACAACTCTTATCACAATCCATACATACATCAATTGTGTAAAGCGCATTTGTACATTCATTGCCCTCATC